TCTCTCTCTCTCTCTCTCTCTCTCTCTCTCTCTCTCTCTCTCTCTCTCTCTCTCTCTCTCTCTCTCTCAGCATTCAAGCCAGGTAAGAAAACCTAAAAGCAGAGGCATATCTCATGGAAGAAAATCACAACTGGATGACATTAAATAGTTAAGTGAAAAGATTAAGGAAAGAGGACCAGAAACATAAATCTTACAACTTAACCAGTCCTCAGCTCAGTGTTGTGGAACAAGCAAAAATTGAGTCTGCTGTAATTTGTTGCGTTCTCATCAGTCGTTATCATCTCTGGTGATTTGCTGAAATTTTCATTTATGAAGAACAGGTACAAAGCTATAAGGAAGTGAAAGAAATAGGCATTGGGGTCACCACGTGCGCTTCTCATGGACCCTCCCAACTTCCCATGAATCACTTTAGATTCATGTACACATACTTTTCATTATCCAGATAATATAATTTGATACTGGGAACGTGGTGGACTTTGTGATAGTCTTCTCCTGAAACAGGATGCAACCTTCTTAAGAAATCAATTGGCATATCTCCAAAGTCTAGATTTTGAAGTGAAGTAAGGTATCTGAAGCTGTGATCCAACATTTTCAACTTCTTGCAGCCGACGATTGTAATGACTTGGAGAAGTGGCATGCATCCTTCCTGCATTCCCTCCAACCCTTCCAGTTCTTCTAAGTGAATGAGAGAGAGAGTCTTAAGATTAGGAAATTCCCGGACACCATCACGTCCCATTATATTCCCTTTATATGCCTTGAAGAGCATAAGAAACATCAGATTTGGTAATGACTGCAAGGCTACAAGTGGGTCTTCGATTAGTGCACAAGAAACTAACGCCAACATTCTGAGGCTCCTAAGGGAGCACAATGACATGGGTAACTTCACCAAAATGGCATTCAGACACAGTTGATTGAGAGGAGGTAGGGAAAGGGGGGAAGGCATTGATTCTAGGGAAACAGGGTTTTGTACATCCATTGACGATAAATACAGGGATCGAAGGTTTCTCATTCTTTGGAGGGATCCCCATAACTCATGTCCATCTTCCACATTCACTAATTGGATCTTGAGTTTCTCAAGTTGGTTCAACTCTCCCAACTCTTTAAAAACAGTTAAGTCAACTCTTACATGCTTCAAAGTGCGAAGACTTGTTAATCTCCCAACACTAACATTGAATGGCACATATTCCTCATGGACGGAAAATTTACCAGTTGAGAGCACCTGAATCCAGAATTCCGTATGGGAAGCTTTTCTTTTGTATATGAGCAGATGAGTTAAATTATGCAGGCTTGAGATCTCACTGGGAACATGATCCAAATTAGTCCCTCTACAATCCAAGGTTTCAAGTCTTTGAAGTTTTAGCAAAGACATGGGAAGCTCCTGGATCCCTGTATTCATCAATCCTAAGTACCTCAGATGAATTAAATTTCCTACTTCATTAGGTAAGTTCTGGAGAAGAACACCCCCCAAATCCAATACCCTCAACAATCTTAACTTGGGTAAGATAGAAGACAAGGTATCCGGCAAATGCCCCACTTTGAAAGTGAGAAGAGAACGGAGATGTGGTTTATCAGTGCAAACTTCGATACATTTTGGGGGCTCTTGGATTGAGAGGCGCCGAGTCTTGGAATATATTGTGGTGGTGGTGATGCTCGTTGAAATTTCGCCAAACTTCTCACTCACAGACATGGAGAGAGCAAGACTACGCATAATATCATGGACACGACATGCTCGAATTAGCCCAGAAGCATTCACACGGGACACTTGGATCAAGTTTCTGTCAATCAACTCCTTAATATATACCATCGCCACTTGCTCCATGGTCATTTCTTCACTTGCAACAACGAATCCTTCCCCGATCCATAATCTAATTAACATTTTTATGCTCATCTCACAATCTTTTGGAAACAAGCATAAATATAGGAAGCAATTCTTGAGGAGGTGATGCAAATCATTAATGCATAAAGAAAGAATTCCCCATACCCTTTCCGTTGAGGGATTATTAGCCAACTCCGAATTGAGACTCCTTAGCGCTTTGGTCCATTCTGCTAATTCCAATTTTCTCTTGTAAAGTATACCTCCTATAGCCGAAATTGAAAGAGGAAGGCCCTCACAGTCATCCACAATGAGTTGCGCCACCCGTTCCAATTCTTCAGGAACTTTTTCCAAGCCATTTTTTCGAAATGCCTTGTCACAGAACAAGGACCATGCCTCGTCCTCTGGAAGAACTCGAAGCTCGTGGATATGGTTCACCACCCCAAGCTGGAACACGAAAGAACTCAATCGAGTTGTCAAGATAATCCTGCTTCCATTTTCTCTGTCCGGCAAGGATATTATCATTCTCTTCCAAACATCTTCGCTCCATACATCATCTAAAACCAAGAGAAACCTCTTATATAGTAAATAGGAGGTCAGGCACAAATATAGCTCCTTCTCGCTGTCCATAGAGTCGATTGTTTCAGTATCCTCTGAGCTATCTTTGTAAAACCCTTTTAACATGGTTTTCAAAAGCCCCAATATGGTAGCGGATCTTGACACAGTTACCCAAGAACGGGAATCAAAGTGCTTCTTAATCTTCTCTTGATCATACACTTTCTTAACTAGAGTGGTTTTTCCTATACCACCCATCCCCACCACTGACATCACCTCAAGTTTTGAACTTTCCGTCACCAACAATTCTACCAGTTTTGCGGCATCTTCGTCTTTGCGCAACCCATCTGCCTCCTTGATCAAATCAAATGGCAGAAGATCTCCACTGTAAGAATTTGAAATTGCACGTTCTTCTGCTTTTATTTGAATTTGGAACACAGATCTCCTTTTCATGATGCTTCGGGTAAGTGCCTTTACACCTTTGATTTCAGATCGAAATCGATAGCAAGCAATAAGCTTCTTGCTGAAGCATGGGCGTTGGCTCTTCATTTGAATGGTGAATTGGTCGATGAGATCTTCAACATCGTATGCCAATTCTCTAACTTGATTCATCCACTCCTGTATGAGTTCATCTCCACTCCTTTCTGCGCCATCCAAGAAAACACGCACGTTCTTGAGCTCGATATCGAGCCAGGCGATGTCTCTGTGAACCCCGTACAGAAGACATGCTTCTTGGTTGAACAAATCATCCAGTTTCTTCATCTGAGAACTTGCCATCCCCCTCTCTTTCTCACTTGCAAGTCTGCTAGTTTTTCTTCAGGGTTCTAAATCCAGATTAGAGCTAATTGTCAACCTATAAATTTGTGTGGTCAGTATTTGGTATTATGGGTCGGCTCAAATTAGTGCTCCAAAAAAAAAAAAAGAAAATTATAGTATGGGGATTTTAAGAGACCTAAAAAAAATATTAGACGAGGTTAAAAAAATATATATATATATATATACATCATTCTAAAAACAGTTCGGTCCCGACCAATTCCTATTTTGATAAGTTATTTGGATTGACAATCATTGAGATTAAAAATATGAAGAATGAACTTATAGGACCCTCCCTCACTCAAAAGATTACCATTAAATTTGACACATATCTCTATAAAAATTACTACATGAATGTGAGAGTTGACTTTTATAGAGATCCACACCAAATTTAATGGTGATTCTTTGGAGTCGTACACACATGAGTAGGGGAGGGTCTTATAAGATTATTTCTCTTAAAATATTGATTTTTTTATGGCCCAAAAACTTTTTTTTATACTTAATTATGAAATTTATAATTTAACAAAAAAAAAACATCCTATAAGACCCTATCCCACCCATATGTGTAGAACCCTAAAGGATCATCAATAAATTTAGTACAGATCTCTAAAAAAGTCAAATCCCACACCTATGTGATAATTTTTCTAGAAATCCATACTAAATTTAATGATAATTTCTTGAAATCCTACATACATGGATAGAAGAGAGTCTTATAAGATCATTACTCTTCAAAAAATGACACTTATTGATCATACTTAACCGTTGTTGATCCATTGCGTCCCTTGGTTTATTATGCTCCTAAAAGGTGCCTTAGCTTCATTTTGAATATATCCCGTTCGGTTGGGTGAACTAGCTAGGTTGGATTTGGATCACCAATCTTTATATAGCAGTTCTCTTGAGTTATCACTAGAGTATTAAAATGGTTTTAATTTTAAAATATTTTAAAATTATATTTTAAAATTTTAATTTTTAACTTGAAAATCATTAAAAATTATATTCCAAAAAATAAAATTTTGATTCTAATTAATTAAAAATTATATTTTAAAAACATTAATTGAGAGGAGATTAAGCATTTGGCCGATATGTCATTAAAGGGAAAGTATATAATGAGGGGAAAAATTTATATAGAGCCGAAGATCTAAACAATCAAATTAGAGACTACCTCAAAAATTTCACGGTAAGAGGTTGTTTTGATGTCCAAATACCCTCAAATTGATCATTTTGACATCAATATGCATAGACATGATAAAAAAATGAATTTCAAGTTTAAGAAATAGTGTCTTTTGTAATGCATTTTTGAACTGTCAATTTTAAAGATTTCCAAGTTTTCATAAATCTGTCGATCTACATTATTTTCTAACTTTTAAACTATATAAAGAAAGATGGAAAATATATTATAAGACTATCACAAAGATTTCCAGTACTAAAACCATATTTCTCAATACTATTTGAAAGTAGCTTTTAATTTGATTGTTTAAAGCCTAGGCTCTATACAAACCTCACCCATGATGAGACTATTTACCTTTGGTAGAAGTTGCCACTATTAATCTTTACCACTAGATGTGAAATTGAGTGGCTTCATTTATTTTATTAATCAAACTCAAAGTTTAAAAACAACTTCTAGAATTTTGTGATATTCCCAAACTATCAGATTTCACATCAAATGTTTTAGATAATCGTGATATCTTTTAATCCAAAGTAAATAGCCTCATTGTATAGAATTCCTAGATTAAATTCTCCAACAAAACCGAGCGACTCCGTTTTTAAGTGACATCAATTTGCGGTCCTGAAGAGGAATTGGGGAAATAACGCGTGGATGTGGCTTTTTCTAGTAGTCCCAAGATGCCGTATAAGAAGCATCTCTTGCGAAGCGTCTATTGAAGATTTTTCGTTGCGGACACTGTCTATGTAGAAATTAGTCAACTATTAAAAATTTAATTTTTAGGTGGATTTTTTTAATTAATTTTTAAGGAATGTAATTTCTAACATGAAAATCATGAATATAAAAAAAATAAATAAATTTTAAAAATTAAAAATAATTTTATTAAGAAAACATTTAGATCGTTAGTTTTAGAGACCGCAAATGTAGAAATATGGTATGAAACAATTTTCCTTTTTTTGCTTTCGAATAAGTAGGAAAATTTATAGAAAAATATTTAAAAATTTATTATATATTGGCATATTTTATATTCATTTTTTAGATTTTGAATGGGTAAATTATTATATTGCGATTTTTTGTAAGAAGACGATCTATCTTTTGTATATGAATGTTATAATCATTCCCACTCATTAAACGTCAAATTGGATGGCTTGGGCTGAGTCACAAAGTCCAATAATATTTTTTGAAACTTGGTGCCTATTCAATGACACTCTTACAACAACTCATCTTGAAATTTAAAGGGCAATAGTGGTTGTGATCTCCAATACAAATGATAAATGGTTTATTTGTAAACAATCTCTACTACATTGTATTTTAATATGAAATTATATACAAGGAGGTCGTAATCACCTTTAGTCATTGAATAAAAAATTGAATAGCTGAGAATATATTTCGAGAAAATTTATTTTGGACTCTGTGCTTATGTAATAACATAACTCTAACTGCATAATTTTACATCAAAGTGTAAAAAATGATAGAGAATTCCTTATACCAAAAGTAAATAGTATTATTGTATAGATATTTTGAAATTTTATCTCTTTTTTCTATACAATGGATTAAGCTCAAAATTGGCATTTTCATACCTCTCATCATATATATATATATATATATATATGAAAAATACTACGCAACACCTATTGGTGAAAATGAACAATGATTTCGCCTACCTCCATTACCGTTCAAAGTTCATCCGTGGTCACGATTATCCGGTAGCATTTCATTTTTCTTTTTTTTTATATAAATCAGAATGACCTGAAATTTGGACTTGTATTCATCAAAACTAGGGGAATCTTAAAAAAATATAAATAATTATTTTACATGAAAAATATTCACCAAAATACCCCCAAAAAGTTTTGAGGGTATTTTGGTCAAATTATTTTCATGGATAATTTTTTTTTATATTTTTATTAGATTCGCCTCAGTATATGAAATTTGGACGGTGATGAGGGTAGGCGAAATCACTATTCATTTTCGTCTATAGACATTAGGAAGACTTTTCTATATATATATAATTAATTAATTAATTAAAAATACTTTAATTAGACATTCTTATCAAAATACCCCTAAATAGTGTAGGGGTAGTTTTGGTTATTTATTATTTTGAATTATTTTTTATAAGTTCATGATGTTGAGAAGTATGAACTTAATTTGATACATAAAAAAGATGATAAAAATTAGAATACCCTATAATTGAAAATTAATAATCTTATCAAAATACCCCTAAATATTGTAAGGCTATTTTTGGTTATTTATTATTATGAATTATTTTTTTATAAGTTTATGATGGTAAGAAATATGAACTTAATCCGATATATGAAAATAAAATAAAAATTAAAGACTCTTTATGCACGTCTTTTATAAGTGCATAATGGTGAAAAATATGAATTATTTTATTTAAATAGTATAGATTTGACATACATTTTAAGTTAGTATTAAAATGTAGCAAGTCTTTCGAGACAATTCCAAATCTACCCTTCAAATATTGGATGATCTCTCTTCAATCTTGAGACATTATCTTTTTCAAGTGCACAGAGAATACAATTAGAAATTTTCTTTTTGTTGACATGAGTTAATAGTTGAAGAGTTTACAATCTAAAATTTGGGGTCACAAAAATAAGAATAACCTTTCTAAGCTTACCCTACAGCATAAAATTTATATACTTCCCCTTTATCAAACCGTCCATTCTGAATGGAGGGTTAAGATTTCCCCAATCACAATGTCACGTCTATACACTATTTTATTTTTAAATTTTTTTCTATGAACTATTTTGACACCAAATTTTGGTCGTTCAATCCTCTATTAAACTTGCACTAGCGAAAAATATAAAAAAAATATTTTCAATAAAATAAAAAGACGAAAATACCTTGAAAGATTCAAGGGGTATTTTGGCCATTATATTTTTTTCAAAAAATTATTTTTACTATTTTTTATAGGTGCGCCCCAATGAGAAGATGACACATACCAAATTTCATATTCATATGATTTGTATAAAAAAAACTAAAAATAAATTACTTTGAAACGTCAGATTTAAGATCAAACGGTGAATGACTCTCTTGATCAAAATTGGACGTCTGGATGATAGAGGAAGCATAGATCTTCTATGCAGTAAGGGAAGTATAAAAATATTTCTCCAAAAATAATACCTAGACAAGGTTTTACTTTGAGGGAGTAAATAGACAACATGCGGAGCATAAAATGTTTTGGCTTCTTTTAATCTTCACTTAAATTTGATTAATTAATGAAGGCGTATGACAGGGAAGCTCCGAGGAATCCTCTTCGTGAAACATTGAAAAATGTTGTAGTTAGGAGCGTGGTCTTTGTCTTGGATGTTCTTATCAATATCTGGCGACCGCGTTTTAAGTGGTCCAAGCTTCAAACCTTGTTACACAAGTTATTTTATTGAAAAATTTTCGGATCATCTTCTTCAAGGAAACAATTTGAAAAAGATATTCTTAAAGTTCTAATTTCATGGTTTTTTTTCATATTAACAGTAGGAACGAAGGGTGGGACATGATGTTGAGTCATTTTCAATTCTAATTCTATCCCTTGTCATTTGGGGCCTGGTATTTGCACAACCTTGTTATGCATCAAATCCTGGGTATAAAAATTCCACTAAGATGGTCTTGAAAACAATGTCATTTGGTAGCTTGCTCTGGTTTGGCTCATCTAAATGTAAAACTAGGTTTTGTACTATTATTATATTAAAATCTAATAATTCTGATAATGTTGACAATATTTCATAGAAATAAAAACAATAACAAGAATATGTAAATAATACAGTTTTATATCATAGTTATAATAATTATATAGTAAGGTAATATCATTTTATTAGTATTATATA